TTTCTTTTGACTAGCTCATGTTCAGTTAGCATGAATATTTTTTGGAAAAGCATGAATTAACCTTCCATTGGCTGCCAGCTGAGAATGCTTATAATTCAGCACTAATACCCTCAGAAATGGCATAAATCCATACTCCTTCCTTTTGTCATATTGCCAGTCAGCTGTGTCTGTTTATATTCACTTAGCACTAATACTCTTTGGAAAGGCATGAATTCACTTCTCTTCCTTGTCTTAATGCTAGACAAAATGTCATGTCTCTGGCATGTCACAATTGTTGGAGAAGAGAGTATGTTAGTGACCATTGGATGAAACAATTTCCAAAAGGCAACCCAGGCAGTAACAACTGAATGTAAATTATTACACTTCTAGACAAATTCATTGCACATATTAATGCTTTTAGATTAATCATGCTGTGAAAATAAATATTTCTTATCTTGCATAAGCTCCATGTAGAATTCATTGATTTGTTTTTTTACGACTCAAAATATTTTAGATTGTAAGAATCTTTTTCTTAGAAATAATAATTATTTAGTGATACAAGTTTTACTAATTAATCCATAGCTGGGAGGGGAGGAGGGCGATTCATACCTTTCTCATAGGTATTTATCGGTAAGTGAATATAACAAACCCAACGAAAATTGGAACCCAGCCGCTGATATGATTCCAAGCCATTATCCATTAAGCAATCAGCACATCTAAGTTTTCAGCAACTTATATTCCCAGGCAGTCACCCATCTAGGTACTGACCAGGCTTGATGTTGCTTAACTTTGGCGATTGTATGGGAACAGGTGTTTCAACATGATGAGGCTGTAAGCCCCATGTAAAAATGGCCAGTTATGAACAACTACAATGAAAGCTCAGATGCCCTGTTTATTTTCATAAAAAAAAAAAAAAAAAAAAAAAATTGTGTGTAGAAACATTATTGATCAATGCAACCTTCATCACAATAGCTTACAGAGATGAATTTTATATTACTTTCTCTATGAGTTTACTGAAACAGTTATATAATACATTTTAATCATTTAGCATTTGCACATACAATATATATATGTATGTATGTATTTCGGCAGCAATCCCTCTTTTATACAAGTTTTCTTAAAAACAATTGACTAGGTAAAAAAAGCTAAAAGTAATGGAAGCATTATTATTAAAAATGAAAAAGCCAACCAAAAATAAAAAAAAAAAAAAAAAAAAAAATCATGTTTTAAAATAATTCCATGGAGAATCAAACCTAAATTTAGCTAGATGGAATTAAGATTGAGCAAAACCAAGACTACCCGACCTTCCTCACTTCTTGCTGATGAGAAAGAGTTCATCAAGATATCCATGAAGATGTCAGATAAAATAAAAACGTGTTGTCAATAAAGAGACCAAGGTGGATACTGAAATAACATTTACAGATCGCTCTGAACAAAAAAGCTTGGAAGAAACAAACATTTGGTTTGAATGAACCACCCAGAAGAGAAGTATCTCCTGTGTTTGTCATTATAGATTCTGTGACATTTGACCAGAGAAAAATTTTATATCCAAGCATTAATTTGGATTCCTTTGGATACAAATGATATAAAGAAAAAAAAAAAAAAAAAATTAATTACTATTTTGAAGTGATCATGGACAAAAAGGCTTGTATGGTCTGTTGATCATAAAAATAGTTAGACAGAGAAAAGATCAGGGCTGTGGAGTCAGAAGCAATTAAGGGGTCACTGGAGTTGGAGTCAGTAAAACTGTATTGATTCCAACTCCAGTTGAATTTAAACTTTATATACAAAGTCTTATATTATAGAATTTTTATTTCTTCTACTCTATATTTACTATTTCCTTTAAAGAAAATCATCTAAACTTCTTTTTTAAAGTCATTTTATTTTTTTGTAATTATTTTGCATTTGCAAAACTATATATGTAAAAAAATCTTACATTATAGAATTTTAATTTTTGTTGTATTTTTGATCCTGTAAAAGATTATATTGCAATTTCTGTTATAAAGTAGTTTTATTTTTGTTCTGTATTTATTTCTTATTTGCAAAGATACATATAAGTTTTATAGTATTTTTATTTTTGTTATTTCTTCTATACTCTTTCAAAGATTTTGTCTCTAATTCTGTTTATTGAAGAATGAATAGGTAAGACATAAAAGCCACAATATCTTTATTCTTTGATATAAACCAGTTCTAATGATATAGGCTGACTCAAGTTAGATGTGTATGCATAGGCCTTATGAGATTTGTAGGCCATATTCACTTAATTAAATAAAGAGAAGTTGAAGGTGCCAAAAAATAGAGGAGTCAGAATCAAAGGTTTGTTACAGTTTTTTGTGTATATACATATGTGACTAGTGAGTTAGTCAAATTCCCTTTATAGTCTACCAATAGAAGATTAACCAATCAGAAGCCACAGAACATTGTATCCGTCGTGTATAAAGGCGGCCATCTTTGTTTACCCTACCAGAATGACCAGAGCCAACTTGTCAGGCGAACATGACAGAAGGAAGAACCACGCTCTGCTACTTTGCTGCGATATCCACTGCGAACCTGAACTATGCTTTCCTACTGTCTGCGAAATATTCACTGCCAACCTCTGGATTCTATACTCGAAAATGACAGTCATGAATTTGTAACAAGGTTTTGTGTTCCAACTCTACACCATCATCAAAGAGTTGTTGATTCTGTGATTGTGGTATGCTAGTGACAAGGCGTTAGTCAAGCCTTTGAAAGTGAGGATAGAGATTTGTTCATCCAAGCAATGCCAAGGAGAATGGCCAAGACCTCTATGCATGTTTTGTGATGTCCCCCTGTCTTTTCTATAAATATTTTCATGGAAATTGTTCTGCTGAGCTTTCCTCAACTACATGGATTTAAGTATACTACTTGATTGGCAACTAAATCTCACTGTTTTACTGTTGAACTAGCTAAATGCAACTGTCAGTTCTATTCTAATAGTTCCTTTTCTTGTACTTCTCACCTGTGGAACTCCTTCCAATTTCTTTCTTCCCTACCACTATCTACAAAAATTTAAATGCAATGGCAATCACCATCGTCTGTCTTCCCATTTTTTTTTTTTTTTTTTATTGTCCTTTCTCCTCAGTAAATCTTCCCATTTACTCCCAGTAACTGCTTGCATCCCTAGTGATATCCATTACACAATCAGCACATCTAAGTTTTCAGCAACTGATATTCACCAGGCAGTCACCCATCTAGGTATGGACGAGGCTTGATGTTCCTTAACTTTCTTTGGGTGAAATGATTAACAAATAGAAAAATATTAATAATAATGCCTGTACAGAGATTCACCTCCATGTGTGTGTTCAAGAAGGTACTGAAAACTTCTGGGTTTGACCAAGAAGCCATTCTCATTAAAAAAAATATTGTTCAGTTATTTAGAGAGAAATTTTCAGCACTCACCCTTATAATCAATCTTGGTAGTGCCCTAATGAATATTGATCCTCAGGTAACAATATTTATAGGTTTTAAATACTTCTTCCAATGATCTGTGAAGCAATTTTTTTTTTTTTTTTTATTCTGCTTAGTCTTAGCAATTTCAATAATTTGTGTTAGTATTACTTTATTATACTTACTTAAATTATGGTAGACATGAGTATATTTGATAACCACTTTATTTGGATATGTTTATTCCTTCCTTTTTTATATATACTCTTTGAAGGTTATTTAATACTGTTTAATTAAAAAACAGAGCATTTACTTAAATAAATTGTCTCTATTAAAATAAAGTATAAACAGAAAATATATTAAATATTTGTGTGTGTGTGTTAGAATATAATATGAGGCATTGAATAAAAACACAATCCCTTTAAGAAACAATACACTAAAATTACAAACATAGCAAGTACAAATTATTCAGGGTAAAAGTTTACTTCGTCAGAGTGGGTTTGTTGATGTTATGACTACACGTGCATGAATATGAGATGCCGAGAATTTCAAAATTTTTGAAAGAATTTTTTTTCCCAATATATATATATATATATATATATATATATACACACAAGTGCATAAACAAAATATTCACTATTGCTCCAATTACCTTTCCTCCTTATCAATTGAAATCAGATACTACATTGTTTTTAGAACTGACATTAGCACCAACACAGCCCATCCTCTAGGCTGCTGGAGGGATGTTAAGGTGTCAACTTACTTTGATGTTGACAGATTGTGGCTTGACAATGTTGCTTAGTATTCATTTTTTTTTTTTTCCTCATTAAAGTTATACACCAAAGAGAATTGTCCTTATCAGTTAGTGCCTGTGGCAATGGGAAATCTGAGAAAAAAGAGGATACCAAGCCACTCCCTACAACTACACAAATGACATATTTGTTAGATACCCAACAACTGGACTCAAATTTATCTCCTTCATATGTCGTAAAGAAGTCAGTTTACATTCAGGATTATTTTGTTACCTATCAAAGCTGAATGAGGAGCAACCATTACCCAGTGCAAGGAGCTAATTGGTTAACATCTGAATATGCATATATACCTGTTCAATATAAACATTTTGTATTTCTTATGCTTTGTCAAGTATGGCACAAGACCAAATTGAGATGAGGTCAAAGTGGGAGCAAGAAAACTGTTGTAATTTTCCAAGTTGCATAGCCTGGCTGTCTATATTTCTAATATTGTAACTATTTACATTGTCCAAACTGTTGTCCTCATCTTCGAGGTCATATTCAAAGTATTTTGGCCATTGTATGCTGTACTTCTTCAGGTTATTGAAATTTTGAACAGAACCCTTTATTCAGCCCATTTGGGTAGATTGTTTTAGTTCCACGTGCCATGCCTGTTCCAGATATCTCGGTTTTCAGTTATTTCCCTTTAGTAACTCAACTCTTCAAGTTTTTGTTCACCTCTACTGTGGCCAGGCATTGAAAGTAAGGACCTACATACATCAAACTGTATTTAAGTTGCAGCAGAAGAATTATCGTTGAACTTTTAAAAGGTAAGCTTAAATATTAGTGCAATACTTAAATGCAGTGATCAATTTTGAGTTCTTCTGTAGTTTGTTGCCTATCACATCTACTCCTCTCTACACAGTGTGATGAAGGACCAATCAAGAGTCCTCTGCAGGAGTTAGCTTAAATGCTGCCCACTTAGGTGGCTTTTAAGCTAGTATTACTATAAATGTTATATTACATATGTTTGAGTAAAGTTCTGTTTAAAAAGAAAAAAAAAAGAAGCAAATTAATATCTACTGGCTTAAAGTGTTAATAAGGGTGGACTATGGCAAGTAAAACCAAATTTCACATACTAAACATTTTTGTTCATTTTCACATAAGAAATGAAACTAATTTTTAAAAAAATATTTCAAATTGGCGTATCACAAGCCAAAATACTTTCTAGGGCATAACTTGCCCATAATTTTTACAGATTGCTGTATCAAGGCAGAATGTCACACTTCAAAAACCTTTAGAAAATGTCAATGTTGACAGTGTAATCTGTTTCCTTATGTAAGGAGAAAATCAGCTGCTGAAGATTTCTGCATGCCACTCCAAGTAATAATATGGTTCTCTGGTCATCTGTTCTTCAGTCAATTTGTTTGCTGTAACCAAATTTCTCTGGAATTGGCTAATTGGTATTCTCAGATTTTTGCATGACATTAAGTGGTTCTAAATTGTGGAGTCTGATTGAGGAAAATTCTTGGTTGCCTTAATTTAAGTCTAAGAATTAAAAGTGCCATCATTAATTTTGACTGAAATTGACCAAAGATGATGATGACTGAGCAGCATACACAAAAAAATTGTCTCTCATTGTTTTTTGGAGTTTATTCTTTAGATTCACTTCCTTTTCAGAACAAA